AGTAAAAGACTAAAATGAAAGACTATGATAGTATCTGTGTTGGTAGAATCCAGAGTTATAGACATCAAGCTTTGTTCCAACACACAAGAAGGAACTGCATCACACATCTGACGAAGGTTGACAAGATCGACCAAAACATTATGGTGAGTTCATTTCTTGTGTTAGAACAAAGCTTGAACTCTACCGGTATACCTATACTAAGACATTAATCTACCCAAGAAGAGAGTCTACAAAGTATAGGAAAATGTGTTTTATTTCTACATGTGTGATGAGAACCCAGTAAAACTTGTACTAGCCCGCGGCTGATATCTGCCCAGTCCTAACCCAACAGACTGTGAAGGGAAATGTGTTTTATTTCTACATCTATCTACATCTACATCTAAATAAATAAACTAAACTAAAATGATACGGGACAAAGTGCCTCACGGCACATCGCGTCCCGGGAAGGAGGTGCAGCTGGTGTGGCAGGTGGTGGTGCGCAACAAAAATATACAAACAGATGAAAAATGATATATAAATAATAAATTGCAAAATGAAAGAAAACCAAACTGTGCAACTATATACAAAAGCCACACCAGAAAACAAAAATGACTCTACAGCTGGGTATTGGCTGGAAGGCCAAGGTGACTGGCCAAACCCGCCTTAAACATATCAAGGGATGTGCAAGATATGAGTGTACCTGGTAGTGTATTCCACTCGATAACGGTTCGAGGGAAATAACTGGCTCTGTATGCCCCTGTCTTGCATGGGATGGTGATGAAGCGTGAGTGATGTCCTCTTGTAATGTTTGTGTTTTTGGTGAGAATGTTGTGTATAGGGATGGCTATCATGTTATTGACTGCTTTATACATTAGGACTAGTCTGGCTTGCTGCCTGCGTTGGCGCAGGGAAGGCCATCCAAGTGTTCATAGGGAAGGCCATACATGTGTGATGAGAACCCAGTAAAACTTGTACTAGCCCGCGGCTGATATCTGCCCAGCATCAGTCCTAACCCAGCAGACTGTGAAGGGAAATGTGTTTTATTTCTACATGTGTGATGAGAACCCAGTAAAACTTGTACTAGCCCGCGGCTGATATCTGTCCCAGCATCAGCCCTAACCCAGCAGACTGTGAAGGGAAATGTGTTTTATGCTCTTTCATCAAATCCCCACAGTTCTCCGTTCCCATGGCGATATCGACCAGACGAGGTGATTACAGAAAGGCGTTTCTGTGACCAGATCTGGGGATGATTCTGGAGGCTCAGCTTTTAACTTGTGGTTCTACTGATCTTACATTGTCTTATAACTGAAGTCTGTCTTCTCTGCTATGTACTACTAATATTATACAGTACTGCTGTACTGTACTACTACTAATGAGTACTATGTAATACGAGTACATTGCAATGCATGAGCAATTTATAATCAGGGCTTGAAATACATGTACAGGATGCAAGATTGGAGCTGTGCACCTCATCTGTGTTGGGTTACAATATTTTGTGAAGGTACTTTTGTACAAGTATACAGCATATTCTTGGAATTCTGCTATGGTAACTGGGGCCTTCACACCACCAGGATAAGGAAATTAGATCAAACTCAAAGCATCAGTTTTGATCTTTGTTGTAATACCTGTCAGTCTACCTTAGTTTATATTGCGCACCCAAATTCTTCCATGCTCCTAAATTTCCGGCCAGGTTAGGTACACTAGTGGGTACTACATGTATTCCCAAGAAGGAATTTAGAGCCCTGCCCCTGACAATACTGAGTCAATGTCTATTTGGTTCATAATTTTCTTCTGGCAGCTAGGCTTGTGTTTGTAACCCAATTCCCCAATTTTCAACCAGAGTTCATAACCGAGTAACTCCTTTTGTTGAGCCCAGGTATGAAAGGCTGCCTGTCTGCCTCACGGTTCAACAGAACTGTACAATAACAATCAGTCTCTGGTCTCATGTCGGTCTGGGAAACCTTTTGTCTGGATGTGTGTTTAATCAACCAGGAACAATTGCCTGGTCACAACATGGGACTGTATACGAGTATGTTTGTGACTTCAGTTGGAAAGAGACATTTGAAGTCAACCTGAAGAAACCTTTTATCTCAAAATTAAGAAACTTTGAAACACACGATTAGTGACATCCTTTCGTTCTTGGCTTGAAGAAAATTGAAAGCTTGAAAATATACCAGTTTCGGGTCTTGGATTTTAATATATTTGAGGCCTGAATTTGAATTCTGTAAATTCAAGATGGCAAACATTACAGGTTGGTATCTGACAACCAGTAAACTGACTTGAGTTGGCCTCTACTGTAATATGGTGTCCCAGAATGGAGGGTGGGATGTTCATTATGGATCAGTCATGTCTACACAATATAACTATGATATAGTGTTATTGGACATAATGAGGGCTTGTCACTCAAAAGCACCTACTATTACAAAAATATACAGAGCCAAACAAGCCAAACAATATGACATTTTCAATAAATACATGATCATCGCAGTGCACTATACAGACTACAGTATACTAACATATCCTATGGTTACTACCCTATCCTAGAGTAAACTAGAGTTCCACGATCCCATACCTTCGCCAAATGATGTTAGCCTTTATAAATAAGAAATATACTAATCACCCTGATTATGCAAATAGGATCCTCGATTGCATGAATTATATCAGTCTGTTGATCATATTCTACACCAAAAGACAGTCTTATCTTAACAAAGAATGCAATTATAGCATTTCCTCATAAATTATGCAAATGTGGTCCTTATTTGAATAAGTTATGTTTAATTATGTTCACCTTCACTTAACTTTCAAACATCCCAAGTATGGAATTTCAGGCAGTTACCACTATGCAATTATAACATTTTCTCATTAATTATGCAAATTAAGTCTTCATTTGCATAATCGATATTTCCCTGTGTTTTTCTCGTTCTTAATAACATATGTTACAAGCTTGAACTTCCTATCATGGAATGCAGCTGATTTATAGAATTTCCTCATTAATTATGCAAATTACATCAATATTTGCATAATTGTAATATCATTATGTCAAGCATCACTTCAGCTACCTACATACCAAAAATCACGACGATCCATCAATCGGTTCTTGAGTTATCCTCTTTTAAACATTTGTCCTTTAAACCCCCCTGCAGTTCTAGAGCAAGCAACTAGGGGGCTCAAACTCATGTCACTTCATCCCCAGCACAAGAGCTACCTGCCATTTAAATTTCGTCACCCTAGCATGTCTGGATCATGAGACATCAAAACCGGAAGTTCAGCTGCAGTACCATGACAAGCCGCCAGGGGGCCCAAAATCTAATCATTTTGAGGTCTCATCAAGACCTACCCACCTACCAAATATCAAGATAATCCATCTAAGCTTTCTCGAGTTATGCTGTTGACAGACACACACACACACACACACACACACACACACATACACGAACGCCTCTGAAAACATAACCTTCTTGGCGAAGGTAATTAAGAATTACAAAATTTCTGTAACTGTAACTTTAACTCTAAGTCACCTGAGTTGAACAAGTTGAAACCTGAGATCTGGTGATAAGGATCTGTGTAATCTGATTCTTCTATAACCCTGTCCTTTTCTTACAAAGGTCAAGTTCATGATGTAACCTTCAGAATGCTGACTTCATTTCCGCTGTGTCTCGCTGACTGAGAAATAGCCTTTATTTACCTATTTATCTGCTTCCAATCTTGAATACATATTGGCAGTCCTTTCAGCTGAAATGGGGTGGTTTCAAGGGAGTCCATTAGTTTATAATTAGCCTACTTTTTTTATCAATCGATAGGAATGTGGAGTATAGATCAATCATCATGTGTACAAAATGTACAGAAATTCAGAAATAAGACTTGGGCCTAGGGAAAAAATGTGTTTCCTGTTTTCTGGAAAAAATTAGGGTCAGTAAGAAGGGATTATCTTTTTTTTTTTGTTTCTTTTTTCTTTTAGACTTATACAATAGTAAGAAAGTAAAACTTGCATGAGGACAGTACACTTATATTTTCAATTTCAGTGTTAGAAAACCGATTGTACAACATTTTATCACTCAGGTGTCTGATCATGGAGCTAGAAAAGGTTGATCAGCTCGAAAAATTATAAACTTATGTCCCTTGCAGGGATCCACCCCCAAAAAGGCTAGGGTCGGCCAGTACAGTTCTTTTCCTAGGCCTTGGTGTATGTAGTGGAAGGCATGTGGTGGATGGACAGATATAAAGGTGTCCGTAGAAACCACAGTAATTAGGATTACACGGTGCGGTTGGTGTTCGGTCCCCCGTGGGTTTGCGGTAACCCGACCCGGGGCTCGGCGGGGTCTGTGTACACAGACGCCCGACGGGGCGCCGCGGACGCTACGGTAAACATCCGGGAAAACCTACGGGCTCAGCCTGCACTCAGTCCCGCCTAGATGTGTGTGGAAACCCCGGTAAATATCTAGGAAAACTCTACCTGCACGGACCCGCTATTCTACCTTGTAGATACCGGAAAATACCGTGGAAAATTTACGGGACCAAGTCGGCTACAAGCCGGAATGTCTGCCGTATACATTTGCGGAACAGCACACCGGCACGTTGTGGTAGAATGTACGGGGCAAGGTTCGCTGCAAGCCCGAAAGGTTGCCGCCGAGGCATCGGTGAACCACTTACGGGGTCGGCCTAGCAGAACGCCGCATTTTGTGTGGGTCAAAGACTTGGCAGGATTTCAGCTTCAAGTCTAAACCCAAACACAACCCCCACACCGCGTGCTAGCAAACCCCTCACAACATGCCGTATTTGTGTGCGTAAAGCTCAGGTCTTTATCGGGATTTCAGACCGCCGCAAGGGACACAAAATCGGGGAAATAATAAACCTGCTCGCACTTCACTGAGAGAAAAGGGAGAGATGTGTGTCAAGTGGGTCTGCCCCCCTCCCCCAAAACATATCCGCTAGGTCGGTTTTACAACCACACAAGCCTGCATCAACAAAATATAGGACTTTTCTGACTTCATTTAGGTCTCATTTTCTCTGCTAGGTCTTAAAATAGCAGCTTTAGCGTAAAGATTTCGATCTAGAAACCCCAAATCCCGGCACAAAACCCAGTAGGGAAGAGGAAGCTGAAAAAATCGGACCGTACCAACTTGAGTTTTGGCGGTTTTGAGTTTTGGCGCTGGAAACTCTGCATCCCCTCGCTGAAAGGAGAGAAGATCTTGTGCAGAAAATACTTGGGCGGGATGTCGGCATCCTTCCCGAGGTAGATCCCCCTCGTCCCGTAGCTTGCAGGAGCGCCGTCGACTTCATCTAGCCCCTCTTCGCGATCGTTAAAAATCCCCTCGCAGTCTTCCGTCACAAGAGACGCCATTTTGCTTCGGTCCCAGGTCGTTGCCCGCTGCTTTATTATGCTAATGAGATGCAAATGAGCTGAGAAGATATTCGTGTAAACATTTGACCACGTGGGCGGGGTTTGATTGGGCCCTACCAACTGGACGTGTGAAGGGGTGTTTTCGGGACAGTCACATAACAAAACATATGCAGATATGCATGTTAAACAAATTGTAATTTATTCAAATTAACTGCAATCTATAATATTATGAATATGTAAAATGAATGTAAAGTAAGAAAAACAGCCGAAAATTTCATGTCAAGTTGTTGTGCTTATCATATTAAATTTTAAACTTTTCTGTAAGAAATATTCTTGCATTCTGAAGTTTGAACTTGACTTTGGTGATACCGACGTTCCCGAAAATGTAAAATAGTTAAACGTTTAAAAAGCTGTAGTTTAAAAAGCTACCGCTAGAGGACGCATAAATTCTGTTCATATATCACATATAAAAATTCGCAAAAATTGTTTATTGTGCTGGAATTATAACAAAACCTTATCAAAACCCAAAACAGAATGAATTAAATTTATCGCACTCATCTATGCAAGATGCAATATAATGTAGCAAGTTTTGGCAAGAAGTATTCCTATGGTGAAAAAAAAAATGCAGAGACAATGGCCAAATATTTCGCAGCTATCAACGTCGATGATTGGGTCGATGTAGGCTAGACATCCAGGTAGAGTACAAGCATTACGTAATGAATAGATGATAATAGATAAAGCAACTCGATACGTTCTGTAAAAGTCAGTCAGACGTTTCAGCTAGATAGCATCCGCTTAGAATTATAAACGTAGTCTATATATGAAAAAGAAATTTAGATTTTTTCTCTCCAGAGTATTAGGGTGTTATCTCCATTTTAGAAGTATTGCGTAGTATATGCTGAGAATATTCATTTATCCGTGAAAATTTTCAGTTTATGACTCAGATCGTCTGAGACGACCCCGCCCTTAACACCTTAAATTTAAACACCTGCGCGGCGCCGTACTTTGATCCTCCCACCTGTTCACCCGACCATTGTTGGGGCGGATCGGATGTCACCTGGATAAACAACACGCTCCGATTGGCTACTGTTGCCTTCACGCCTCGATACGGACCAATGGCGTGTCCCGAGACATACGGAGCCGCATGCTAATTTTATTCTTTCATCATGGCGACGGCAGAGACGCTACACGGGATATCGCTTCCGTGCCAAACTGTGTTTTGATCGCAATTTCAGCCATGTGAAGCCAAAATTACCCCAAAACAACACCAAGAACACTCAGAACAACACTAGTACAGGTGAGTAGTCTTCAAATTCTATAAGATTAGTCCATTTCTAGGCGTATTTCTTCTCTGTTTCGCTCGATGCGTACCTTAAGGTAGGTTGACATAACGGTACCTAAGGTGTTGTACTGGACAGGTGTGATATTTTGATCACCTGTATGGCCAGGTAAGGTGCCTATCAAAACGTTTTGATGTACCGACGTTTGTGTGAGCGTCTTGAAATGTTAATACGACACAATGTGAAAAGGGTGTAGACTTGAAATATGCCAAGGCCCTACGCCATTTTCTTGCATGTTCCTTCTGGTATGTATAGTGTGAAGGAATTCAGCTGTTCCGTGCGCAGGAATCGATTTTCTTCTCTTCGCGGTTTTGAAACAAAGACTGTAGCTGCATTATACTGCCATTGTGTGCACATAAAACCCTCATAAATTTTTCACAAATTTCACCTATTTATACCATATCTGCGAGACAATTTGGATTATCATTTATGAAAGGGAATGACCGTTCGGATGCGCGTAAACAATGAGTACTGAAACCGGTGACATTGTGAGTTATTCCACATGAATTATTCAATATGCAACAGCTGTTTTTAGCTTAACACTATTTTTGAAAATAATTTTGTATTGTGAATATTTTTATATTATCAAAATATCTATACACAAAGCAGTGACATTATCATATGGTGTATAAGGTTTAGGCTATACGTTTTAACTGTTGCAAATTGATACTTATTGTTGGTTGGTTGGTTGGTTTTTCTTTAATGCCCACGATCATGATAATGATCATTCTGGCTTACTCATTTTCACCTGAGCAAAGAGAGGAAAGTAATGTTAAGTGCCTTTCCCAAGGGCACAAGGCTGGTGACTTGGCAGGATTCGAACCCCAGACATCTTGGTTCTTAGCCGAATGATCTGCTGCATTATGCTACACAACCCCATGTTAGCACATACACACAGAAATACATAAATCAACAGGATTAGGATAACCTCAATTCTCCTGACTTAGAGGTGTTGGTCATCAAGATCCTAGGGCCATTAGAAGGGTCTGAGGGCTACTAGAAGCAGATTTTTCCTTAGGCTAAAGTCAAAGCCTCCTAACATCTGCCAAAAAAACAATACTCAAGCAACTGGATATGATTTGGGAAACAGCCAGAAATTTTAGGTAGCATCCACTAGCTTTTGTAAGTGACAAAAAACTGTTTTCTGGCGTATGTTATTACCGGTATGTCTAACCTTCACCGACGTACCACCCAACCTCTGCTTGGATCCCCACCATACAGTGCTGCCATATGGCCAGTGTTAAGCCAATTTCACGGCGCGATGTGGAGCCATGCATGGACAGGTGGGGGTAGCTGCTAATCACCTATTGACAGACTCATTAACCAGTGCTAATTAATGTCATGCTGTGAGAGAACTCTGTACCTTATAATTAGGAGAGTTTGGGTAGAAAAACAAACATAAAACTGTAGAATTATTTTCAGATGTAGAATTACACTTTTGTACATGTCTTTACATAAAATTCATATGTAATTCTACATTTCATATAAATATTACAGGGCCATATTAAAGATAATTTGACTTAAGCATACACCTATTCACTAAAATGCACCTCCCCCACAAACACACACACATGCACAAAACTCAGCATGCACACGTGCGCGAGCGCGCACATGCACGCACACACACACACACATGCACTGTGACACTCACACAAACAACAGTAAAGTACCAAGCCCCCGTATAACAGGTGGTCTTCAGTTGACTACAACATTCAATCTTTTGTCTGGATCCAACCACATATGTTTATCCTGTAGGGTTCTTATATTGACATTAAAGCATGTCATCTGACTGATATACCTGTCTCCTGTTTCTGTATAATTGACTGTACACGCAATTAGCCTTCGGGCATGATTTTGCAAATAAACAACTATAATAGATATTAGAGAAAATGTTTGAAACATCCATTTATGTTAGCCCTATTGCTATGCTGGGTGAATTCTATAGCTCCACTCTTCAGTGGATTTTTTATTATAATGGAATATAGAATAATTATATCTGACTAATGATTTTGTGGCAGAATTGAGATAACGAGCGACTATTGATCTTAATTAAGATTCAGGAGAGAAAACCGATATTCTTAGCTGAGCCAAATGATTATATCCGTCCTGTCTAGTTGAGCTGGTAACATCCTTATAATAAATACACAGGTAAGGTAAATCTGTGTGTGCAATATGTACAATGTAATATTTTCATTCATATATATGAGGCTGACTTTTCTTTTACCATCATTTTGCAGCTAATTGGCTAAATCTCAGGTACTTTACTATAATGTATAGGTCTGGGGTACGGTGGCATCTGTTATCTGGTGCCTTTCTGGGTCAAATGACCACAATTGCTACACACGGTAATTGCCCAATTAATAATGTAGCCAGCAGATTTTTTTTTCTTTACTCAAACTGGAATATGCCTTTAAATTTAGTGAAATTCAGCAGGGAATTTTCAAGACTTGGTCTAAATTTGAATTTTTTTTGTTCTTATCTTTTTATTCTGCCTGGAAATGTGTTGTCTTCATCGTTGTTATTTTTACAATGTATCTTAAATTATTTTCTAGGTCAGGCTGCTGCTGGTTGCCAAGCAACTGTCTCCTAGCGACCAACGATGCCACGCAGGAGATCCCAGCTGACATCCTCCCTCCTCTTCATCTCCATCCTCTTCTGTAACTATGCAACTTCTACTCTAGGTAAGTCTCTACATCTGAGGACAGAAGTATTGTTTTGGGTGGCCGAACAGTTGGTTTGTGTGTGTGTGTGTCTAGACAGAGATGGTTGACAGCACATGGGTGGGGTAAGGACTGACAGGCAGAATGACCACAGGTGGTTGTTAGGTCATCAGAACAGTAAGGTTTGACATGTCATTTAAAACAAAATGGTTCTCTCCATATTGTGCCTTCATGCACTGAATAATATTCTGCCATTCATGTATGACTCTACCATAATTCAGAACCAGAACATTGATTTTTACTGTCCATGCTCTCCATCCATCAACCTGTGTGTTACAGGTCCCAGGGGAGCTTCTATCTACACATTATCTAACATACTGGGTATCATGAGTCCCTCTATCCAGTACACATTATCTATTCATTCAGCATAATGGGTTAGAAGGGTTTTGATGGATGGTCTGATATATTAGCCAGAATAGATATGGAGATGAATAGAAATATGTGGAGATATGATACCTGCAGAACTATTGTCCTAGACCTCCTGGTTTAGTCATAGATTTGTTTTGTTATGTTTTGTTGTACATGTGTATCTTAGTATTTACCCGTGAGCCGTCCAGCCAGGTAGTGGTGGTGGGGCGACCGTTTGTGTGTGTATGCAGTACCATGAGTCTATAGCTGTGTCTAACCAGTGTTTTTCTTGTTTGTTTGTTTGTTTATGTGACAGTATTTACCCGTGAGCCGTCCAGCCAGGTCGTGGTTGTGGGACGCCCGTTTGTGTGGGACTGTACAGCTGAGGACACAGAGAACACCGGAGCTGCTGTGGACATCAGGTGGAAACTGGGAGATGGTGGGTTGTCATTTTAAAAAAAAACTTTAGTTTACTTTAAAATTTTGCAGAAGGAAAACATATTGTTTTTGTTCAGTTTCTTCTTCTTCTTAAACAAATTACCGGGTAAGTCAATGACCTGGACCAGATGTCTGTCACCGTGGTAACTGGTAATATAGCAGACACCATGTGGTGTTAGATTACATTATGTAGCAGAACAGATTTGGAGAGACTGATCACTATACAATCATATAGGAATGTATTTGACTTTGAGGAAGAATAAGAGAAGTAGTTTGTTGGGCTACATCATGTTTTTATTTTCGGTTGGCTGACTATTGTCTGATGTAATTAATGATTGATGTAATTCTCTATAGTCACTCCAATAATGTTCATCTGAAGATACAAAATTCAGCATTCCCACTAAAATCCTTCCAAACAACAATTTTCCCCAGTTTTCCTGGACGACAACCATCCCAGAATCCATCGCCATGCCAACGGCTCGCTGCTGTTCTCCCCCGTCCAATCAGAAGACATCGCTAACTACACCTGTGTGGTGTCACTCCGCGGCAGGAGTGGGTCGGCTGTACAGAGCAGCCCGGCGTTTCTCAGGATAGCCTGTAAGTTTCTGTATCTGTATCAGTACATCTGGCATAACTGCCCTTCTGCGTAATACACCATGCAGCTTTGCAGGCATGTGGCGTGGTGGCACCTAGCTATACTACACCCGATATTTCCACATTTAATTGCAGGAGTAGTTTAAAGCTTTCTATTGTCCCAACTGTAGTTGGTGGCAATATAATTTGCAAGCACCCTCTTCTGATTCTTGAAAATGAATTCTTAGTTGTTCTTTTTATTTTGTTTAACAGTAGCCATTGTTATTCAGCACCAAGGACAGCTACTAACTATATCCAGTAACTGTTATAGGCCTGTGATCAAGAGCATATGGACATATTTTCTGTATTCTAGATTCTAATGTAGATAATGTAAACATAAAGATATGGTTCAGCTATTATTTATAGCAATAGTTATTCAGCACCAAGGACAGATACCACTATAGCAGTAGGCTTGTGGTGTAGAGTCTATAATTCTTGCCTGTAATAAACTAATAGCTATTATATGTAAATGTTATAGACATGATTATATTGTGTACTTCTTTTGGAACTGTATTATTCAGCACCAAGGACAGGTACCACTACCTGTACTTGCCCTTGGTGACCATGTGTTTCTTGTTCCAGACATTGACCCCATAGAGCGCCCCCCGGTGTCCCAGAATGTAAGTGCAGGAGTGACGGTGTACCTGACCTGTATCTCCGGCCCCAGCCTGCCACTGGCTACCCTGTACTGGGAGAAGGATGGGGTCAACTTCACGGGCGGGCAGGTGTACGAGACACAGGGCTTCGGTGGAAACAGAACTTCAGGTGACCTATTGTATTTTGTCTTTAACTTTGTTGTTGTTCTGAATCTGCCAGAATGTGCTATTGTAGTGTTGTTTCTGTGTTGAATCTGAAGGAAATGCTATAATCATTGTTTGAATTCTTTGGACCTAAAGGGTAGAGGCTCAAGTATTGTGTCCTTTAGGCCACACCGCCTTAATTTTATTGATGACATCCTCTGAAGTCCCCCAAACTAGTGCGCGCGGGCGAATAAAAGAAAAATCCGGCCAAAAATAAAAATGCTACTAAATCACAGGAATACAAAGCTGGTGTTGTGAATTTACTGCAGTACATACCAACATATACAACAAGCCGGCACATGCTGGCTTTTGCCGAAGTTATAAGTCGGCAGTCTCGGCACTGTTCGTATGTACTGAGTTCTTGAGTCGTGGAGCTTAGGTAGCCTGGGTGCCCGGCTCCGTATTGTTGCTAACTACCATGGACTACCCAGACCAGAGCCTCGGTGGACATGATCTTTTTTATAAACATTTCACAAAGACACTTTTAGAACAATAAATGCTAAATTCTGTACCTACACGGAGCCTACAGCTATACATACTAAAATTTCCTCTTCACATTCGAAAAATCCCTTCTATACATTCTAAAAATCTCCCCCCATACATTCTAAAAATCACCGCCATACACTCTAAATTTGAGCTCTGTACATTCTAAAAATCACCTCTATGCACCTCTGTTAACTTTTAAGTTCTCGTTTGAGAAATTCTTGTAATGATTTTAAGGAAAACTGTGCAACATTTAAGGAAACTGTGCAATATTATGTGTCTGTGAATTGTATCACAATGTTATGTGTTTAATGTTTCCCTGTATGTACGGTCATAATTCATGTACACTTTGCACAGCGGACATTCAACATTCGACATTAAACACATGGAGAGAATTTGTGGTCCGTTGTCTGTATGTTGAAAAAGCTGCCTGCTAAAAGTCAAACTAGGCGTGTCATTTCAACACGTTATCTATAGTAAACTTGGTCAAGCGAAGATCCCACCAATACGGGTACGCCTAAGCTTAATATCCTGTGGCTTTCTGTTGTTCTGTTGTGACAAACTTATCAGATAAGACCCTAAGTATGTATAATATGTAAGGTGTGTTAAGGTGTTACGCTTAGCTATTGTAGTGCGCAAAGGAGTGCCGTTTCTATAGGTTATTTGTTTGGTCATGTGGAACAGGCCACAACGAGTTTTTTAGAACAGGCGAAAATCAATGCGCGCGCGGATGTCATCCATAAAATTAATTTGGTGTGGCCTTATATAAAAAAAAGTCCTATAGATGTAGGACTTGGGAGCTATAATAGGTCTGGTAACCAGGCTAGGCTGTATACGTGTGCGTGTGGCAGTCAACCCAAACATTATCCTCTTCTACAATTGTCCTGTTTATGTCATATATCAACAGTGATGTCCTATAACAGTGCTGTTTTTGTTCTGAATTTTCAGGAACGTTACAGATAGATGCTGTAGACGGCAGACACACAGGACAGTATGTGTGTGTGGCAGTCAACCCCATGTTATCTCAGCAGCCAGAGAGAAGTCTGCCGGCTACTCTGGTGGTGGAGGGTAGGTATCATTCAAGGGGCTGCATTTCACATTCTTCATTTTCTATGTTTGGTTTCCAATCCTTCACTGCTCATTACAGTGACAAGAGAAAACATTTTTCAACTTCTTATTCCAGATACATCCTGATAACTTTATTTAGTATTTGAAACATCTTTAAGTTAATTTGGGAATTTGTCAAATACCATCGTTACAGAAATAGAATTACAAATATACAAAAGATTAATACCCAATTCTTTAACATTTTCTAACATGGCAACAGAGGTCTTGTTGTACCTATCTAGACTCCTGATAGTAGACTTGTAGTACCTATCTAGACACTGATGCAGCCCAATTTGTTGTCTTTCCATCTGCCTCTCTGTCAACGCCCTCTTTACAGTGCCCTAATGTTGTTGCTAATTGTGTCCAACATTGTCTAACGTCTAACCCATTTCACCTCCCACTAACCATTCCCTCCTTCTGTCCATCCCATTCCACATGTCCATTCCACCAACAACCGGGTTGCACCTGGTACATACATGTGTGTGTAAGTACTTAGTACTCAAACAGCAATTAATAACGTTCAAGGAGCTATAATATCATTAATTTTGAAAATACCTAACCATTAGTTTCAGCTTGAATGTGCAGTTGTTTAAAGGTAACTTCAAGAAAGATAGCATGCATGCATGTAAATTATGTTTATTTGAACAGGTAAAGCATTCACTAATAAATTACAAGAGTACCGGTATTGACAAAACAGCATGGTATGGTTTTTGAAAAGGGAACATCTTACTAACATCAAGCAACTGCAGAAAATGACCTCTAACCTGTAACCTCTAACCTTTCCCAGCAACCCCCACTCCCACCAATGAAACGGCAGCTCCAGCCGTGATCCTGGCCGGTCCCACTAACACCACGGTGGCGGAGGGCACCCCAGCAGTTCTGAACTGTTCAGCAGCAGGGACAGGCCCTCTGGAGCTGCAGTGGTTTAGGGATGGACTGCTGGTCAGCAACGATACGTCTATACAGGTAAGTCAACAAGACATAGAGTTTTAAGTGTACATTACAGTCTAAAATAATTTAGAGGTTTCTTTTAGGGATGGGGACAGTTTAAAATCAACATGCCCTTTTGGATGTGAAACAACAAGTTGACATTGTGGGGCCTAATGTATTCTGGGAACAGTTATTGTACTGTTTTATCAAGCTTAAAAGTATGTGACTGACATAAATGCAAATTTTCAAACAATATACATGTACCTCAAATGTACATCCAATTTTTAAAGATCTTTGAGATACCTTCTAAGTCATACCAGATGAAATCTTAGTATCAATATTAGTTTTATCAATAGAAGATCCTCAAAATGCGGTATTTTTTCCCCTTACAGAGATTTATCCTACCCGATGGTAGCCTGATGTTCACCAGTGTGCAGACATCAGATGCAGGCAGTTATTACTGCACAGTACAGAATCTTTATGGCAATGTGACAAGTGATACAGCCGAGCTGTCTATTGCTTGTAAGTGTTTGGGAAAACTTTCAAAGCTAAGGTTTTCTTTATGCCAGTCACTGTTTCTTGGTTGATTCACTAAGTTAAACAAGGGTTAAGAATATTTAAGGTGGACTTACTGTACCTCTCTTGTCTATTCACCCATTAAAAAGTGATTAAGGGACAGAATATTTTCCTTTTTCTATGGGCTCTTAACAAATTAGAGCTGAAAATGCCTTAAAGTTTGTTTCATGTATTCAGCAGCATGTACATAGAAATTCTAGAAAATCATGGTAACATATTTTACGTTGCCTGGGATACTTAAAAATCCTTTTCTGGATTTGTTCACATATGAAGTAATACGAATCATTCAAATTAATCTTTATATTGCCTATATCACTACATATTGAAGTTAGGATTTTATTTTATTTTGTTTATTCATTATTTCCAGTATATGATGGTTTGTCATGTACATGGCCTTTTTTTCCGCAGACCTAGACTTGACCTTCCAGCAGCACCCCTCCAGCCTGACCGCCATCGAGCTGACCCCCGTGACCGTGACCTGCCGACCCCCCTCCAGCCACCCCCCCGCCGTCATCACCTGGTACCATGACAACCGCCTGGTCACCATGGATACCAGGGTCATCGTCATGGCGACCGGTGACCTGAGGTTTACCTACGTGTTGGAGACAGACGCAGGAGAGTATTTCTGTTCTGCACAGAACACAGTCATCGGACGGTCGGTGGTGTCACACAGAGCACAGCTCACGGTGACAGGTAAGGTTTAAGTAGAACATTCAGAGCTACATGTAGAAAAAGATTTTTATGAGCAGCACTGGTGTATCAAATGCAAACAATACAATTTTAGGGAGGCAAAACAGAAAATATTCAGGAAGAGAAAATCTGTCTGATACTGACATTTATTGACATTTCTTAGCATTTTTTTGTCATCATTTTATACTTGAAGCTGTTGAAATAGCCTCAGAGCAAACTACATGTCATTGAGGAGTCTGTCTTGTAAGACCAACAAAATGCCTACTACAATAACTACACTGTCAGTCACTGTTCCCTGTCTCCTGAGGGTTAGACGTGCTTGCACACTGAGCTGAGGCTTGATGGCAGCCTTCCACTTGCCTCTATCCTGTGGGTTTATGTTATGTAGGTTCAGGTGGAAGAAGTCGTATATAGACTGATATTGAGATATTGCAAATGATGACTCGCTCTTTGTTGCATAACAGTTCCCCCGATGTTTGACCTCCACCCTGCTGACACGAGTGCTAACCTGTACGACACGGCCCAGCTCACCTGCCGTGCTCAGGGCTCACCTGTTCCTGCCATTACATGGTACAAGGACTCTGTGCAACTAGCTGCCAGTGACAGGATCTCCTTTAGGTAAGCTTGAGATATCAGTGAATAGAATAGAAATTTAACAGTTTCAGGTCTCTTTTGATTATGAGGGAAGTTTAAACTGTAATTTCCAAGCTAAAATGGATTTACCCAATAGTCCGTTGAGGAATGAGTAATCGACCTCTTCTGCAATGTCACGTTATGCAGATGACACACATGACTGAGTTTGCAGAAAGTTTGTGGGGCCCCAGAGTCTTTCTGCAACCTATTAACCACTGCTCACCAGGTCATGTGTGTGTCATCTTTAAACAAATGAACTTTCTTGATATGGTCATATAAATGTTTTTGCTTTATTGCAACAGCTGGACAAAATGTGTCTGGTCATAATTTTTATACAAAATTAAATGTGATTATTTTCTATCACCCAGCCAGAACAACGAGCTGCTGACCATCACGAATGTCCAGCGAACTGACCAGGGAGCGTACTACTGCGAGGCCAGCAGTAACTTGGGCACAGTCAGGAGCAACGGGGGAACTCTGGATGTCAACAGTCAGTATTTATCTTACCGGTGTTACTCTTAGCTGTGTGAGTGAGGGAGTAAGTGATAGAGAGAGAGAGAGAAGAGAAGAGAGAGAATGAGAGAGAGAGATATCAGAAAGTTCCACTCTCCGATAGTTCTAGAAAGAAAACAGTTTTCAAGGACCTCTATTCTTGGTTGATAACCCTGGTACTTAAGCTTGAAGGTATGACTATTTCTTGTTCTCTTCTGAGCTGGTTTTAGGGACTTAGTAACTGTTACATCTAACTTATCAGTCATTTTGTACATTGTGCATTAAGTCTGGGCATTTTTCTTTAGTCTTTGGGTGACGTCCAAAGTACTTTCACTTAATTTCACCTGTCCCCCCAGTCCTGCCAGGTATCAGTGTGGGCCCAGGTGACGGGACAGGTGAGATCTACGCCCCCCGCGGGGACCACGCCCTGCTCAGGTGTGCAGCTGCAGGTGACCCCCAGCCGACTATCACCTGGTACAAGGACGGACAGCTGCTCAACGTCACACCTGGAGACACGCACTACAGGTGGGGATCATCTTAAAGTTTCTAAACATATCTAGTAAATAAAGGACTTCTAAGACTGTCCCAGTATGTTGTATCCAGGGCCATGTTTTATCCAGAGCTATGGTCAGACATACATGTAATTCTGGATAGTCCACACTTATCCAGAACTGTGCTTGGACTATTTTGAGACTATCCAGAACCGTGCCTGACCCCAACCCTAACCCATTCAGGCATAGAACTAGATAGGCACAGTTCTGGGTACAACAGAGACTATCCAGAACCGTGCCTGTTCCTAACCCTAACCCATTCAGGCATAGAACTAGATAGGCACAGTTCTGGATACAATAGAGACTATCCAGAACCGTGCCTGGTCCTAACCCTAACCCATTCAGGCATAGAACTAGATAGGCACGGTTCTGGGTACAATAGAGACTATCCAGAACCGTGCCTGGTCCTAACCCTAACCCATTCAGGCATAGAACTACTAGGTACGGTTCTGGATACAGTAGTGTCAGACTGATATTTGCTGCTGCCTTGTTTCCAGGATCACCTCAGAAGGCCTGGAGATTTTACGAGTGACAGATGCAGATGAGGGTTCCTACACCTGCAGGGCCGAGAGTTCTGCTGGGTTTACTGAGTCTACTGGAACTCTCAGAGTGCAAGGTACGGACTGGTGAACAGTGAAAAACAACTCTTATGTTAGCATTCATTGCATTTTTACTTCAGTGCTATGTGCATTGTTCAGTTGTCAGTAACCCTCTTCAGGTCTAGAATTCAAATCTTATCCCGTTGTAATACTGGTAGCCTTTTTTGCATGCAAAAAGATTGAGTTGCTGCAAGCCATTATGTTAATGTACAATGAAAAAAAGGCATACATCTGATAATGTTCAATATCTGATTTTGAAACAGTGAGAAAATTTGTCAAGTGCATCAAATCTGGATATACATTCTATGCAAGACATCAGATTCTATGCACACTTGTTAAGATGATTGACTAGAATGGACCTCTCTACAATGTATATGCCAAAGCTATATTAACACATTTTTCTACCTTCTCTCTCCCAGTCCCTGCGATGATCACCACCCCTCCAGTTAACCAGACCGTCAGGGTCGGTGAACCCGCGACCTTCCACTGCCTGGCAACCGGCACGCCTGTTCCCATGGTAACCTGGCTGTTTAACGGCGGCCCGTCCGGCACACAGCAGCCCCAGAACGCATATCTGCAGTTCCCTTCTGTAGGGTTACAGCACATGGGGAGGTACACGTGTGTGGCAAGGAACCTACAGGATAGACAGGATACAGCTGAGGCCTATCTTACTGTGCTGAGTAAGTAGTGGGTGGATGGATGGATGGATGGATGGATGGAGAGAATGAGTGAATAATGAATGGATGAGAGAAGAAAGGAAGAGCATGGGGAACTCACAGTAAGGAAGGGAGGGTGGTTATGTTGTTATGTTGGCCTCTTCTTCGTATCCGAAGATGTAGGGAAGGGAGGGTGGTAGTGAATGAATAAATGACAAATAGATGAGTGGGAATGAAAAATGGAAGTTTGAATGATTGAATAAAGATCTGAAGGCATTGGTGGGTCAATTGTTGATTGAAAAAGAAGAAAAAAATTTGGAGGTCTATCTGTGTCCACTGGGCCCAAAGGCTATGCTAATCAAGCTACATGTATAAGAGAAGACCTTACATTACATTGTGACAAGGTTTACCTGGTTCTTAATACTATTACTTATCCTACTAATTCCAGTGTCCCCAGAGATCACGTCCCTGTCCGGCCCCAGACTGGTGAAGCTGAGAGAAGACCTGAGGTTGGACTGTACCACTGTCGGCAGCCCCCCTCCCACAGTTACCTGGTACCGCGATGGGCAGCTTCTCCTTACCTCAGACAGGGTGTCCTTCCCAGCCCAGGGTGCATTGCTCATTCTCTATGTGGACTATGCAGATGAAGGTAAGGGAAAACTCTAAGATGATTTTTTTTAGAAAAACAAACTTTTCAAGAAAGGCATTGAAAAAAATAAAATCTATGATGTTCATACATTGCATCCTATGGAACTTCCATTTTAGCAATCAACAATAAATTGATTAAACAAGCAATATTAATTAAGCAATCAATACTGAGTTGATTGCTAATTAAATCATATTGTATAAAAATGACTATCTACAAATGATAGTATGGGTTAACAAAATTCTTGCGTTCTCCTTCCTTTTATTTTTCTGAATACACTGACTTAATTTTCCTGTGACACTTACAGGACAGTACACCTGTGTGGCAACCAGTGAGGCTGGAGAAGACAGGGAAAGCATGCCTGTATTTGTACAAGGTAGGGACACTCAGGACACACTTGAATTTCATTCTTTTCCTGAAAATTTAGGTACACAAATCCTATTCCTGGCTCCCCTTATCCTTTACACATGTTCCTGTCCTTGGTGCTGAACTCAAGACTGCTGTACTATTTCAGCACACATTTGAATCCCCTTCTTTTCTGGAACATTTATGTCAACAAATTGATTTCTTGGCATGTTGCACTTTTCCTTACACATGTGCCTGTCCTTGGTGCTGAACTCAAGGCTACTGTACCATATCTACTTCACAAAGCTGTATGGCATTCACCATAAGAAAACAACAGCAATTGTTTTAGTGCAATTATGAATCATTTAGGATTTATCATTATAATAACAATGAAAGAACAAACATACCCTACTAACTGCCGTATCTTTGATCTTTCAACTATATTCATCACACTGGAAGATTTGACCAATCTCATTAACGCTATAGGTATTGATTTGATTTGATTTTGATTTATTAGGATTGCAAGCAAGTACAATACTCGTGGGCCACAGGCAGCGGAGGCTGGTGTTGTGGCCCACACACAAAACAATCACAAGCACACAAACAAGACACACATTTAAACCTAGTATAAGTATATAAAAATAAGTATAAGAGTACTAAAACAGCATAGATTAGAATACTAGTATATCAGTCCATTTAGCACTACAGTTCATGCGGTTTCTAGCCGCCAGAATGTTCTCGTATCTGGGGCCACGTCTCCGGGTCAACTGGTGCTTCTGCTGTGTGAGCAGGTGGGCCCGACACATGTTCTTAAATATAGTGATGCTGCGGGCCTCTCTAACAGACTGAGGCAGCTGATTCCACAGCTGTGACGCATAAGGCAGAAAGCTGGCCTGGTACGTCTGTGTACGGCACCGAGGTAAGTGGAGGTGCGTAGCGTTCCGCAGCTGAACACGTGTGACCCTTTGGTCTCCTCGTGTGGTGGGAGTTAGTGGCTGGAGGTGAGGGGGGACTAGTCCGTTCACCAGTTTGTACATCAGAACCATGGAATGGAACTGCCTCCTGGTGGACAGACTGTCCCATTCTAACTCCTGCATGACGACACTTGATGGTGTACGTCTCAAGGCTCCGGTGATGAGGCAGCCGACCTGGTAATGCACTCTCTCCAACATCTTGCTGGATGAGCAGGACAAGTCCCCGAGCAGTACGGTGGCGTACTCCACAAAATTGGTGTGCCAGCCACTTTCATTTTATGTTTATGTTATATTTTATGTCATCTTTATGTTATCATTTGTGTTTTATGAGCAGCGGATTCACATAAACACAATAAGTGCTTCCTATCTAATTCTCATATCAAAAATCCATGTGAATAAAATAAAATAAAATAGATAAATAAACAAACCCTCCTTGCACCCCCCTCCCCCTCCAGTCCAGCCTGCTGCCCCAGAGCTGGTGTCAGCCGTGGCGCTGGACAGCTCCTCTGTCAACATCAGCTGGGTTGCCACGGACAACGGGAACAGCAGCATCCTCTACTACCAGGTGGAGTACAAACTCAGGTGAGCGCCATTCAACTATAGCTGCATCCAGAACCGTGCTTTATCCAGAAACAAGCTCAGACCTGGTTTTGAATAGTCCACCCATATCCAGAACCATGCTTTATCCAAAACTAAGCTGAAGCACGGTTCTGGATGGCCCATGCACATCTAGAACCGCGCTTTATCCAAAGCCACACTCAGGCCCAGTTCTGGATGGTCCATGCATATCTAGAACCATGCATACATGTATGCTTTATCCATAACCCTCCAAAGGCACAGTTCTGGATAGTTCACGCATATCCAGAACTGCGCTTTATCCAGAAATGCATATGCATATAAACGTGTATGATGTAGGAAAAACAGAGATTTGCTTGGGTAGACTACATAAAGGTAAATTTCATGCATTTCCATTGCAAATGTTCAGAGTATCTTTTTACCTTTCCCCAGTGATGCGCCGGTTTACACCGCCCTCCCTGACCGTATCCCAGCTATGGGCAACACCGGCTGGTTTGTCATCGATAACCTTGAGCCGGCGGAGTTGTACTACTTCCAGGTCCGAGCTTGGAATATCATCGGTATCAGCCAACCAGGAAACGCTCTGGAGGTCCAGACCTTCGCTGCAAGTAAGTAATCCTGACATGTGTGCAAACAAGTTTTAAAAAATTCTGTTGCAGTACCATAGAGGGTTGCTAGGTGGTTTGTATTAAATGAAGGAGGCCATACATTGTATATACTTTTCACCCCAGGCCCTTCAGCCCCCAGAAACCTGCAGGTTCCGTATAAGAACTCCACAGCTGTGCAGCTGAGCTGGGAGAGACCACAGCAGAGGAACGGAGATGTGCGGGTGTACGAACTGCAGTACAGGGACCAGGGGTCACAGGGTAGGCAACAACTTAGCAGCTGTTTTCTTGTTGTTTTAGCATTTTGTTTCATTGCTGTCATGTACTGCAGAAAATGGTTGTAGGTACATATTCATGGAAAGTGTAAAGTTTGAAAAAATGTTTTGTAAAATGTGTACAATGACTTAAAATGAATTCAAGAAAGAAAAGTCACAAGATGTAAGAACACTAGGTGCAGTAGGTGCCATTTTTTGGAGGGGCTCATAGGGGGAAGGGCTAGTTTTTATGGAAAAGAAAGGAGAAGGCTTCACAAAAGTTTCCAAAAGTAATTACAATTTGGATGAAAAACACAAAATTCCTTTCCCCAGATTTTGACTCGATCGAGGTTGTGTCGTCCAGTCCCACCACGACCCAGCTGGTGGTTAACCTCTGGCCCCTGACCTTTTATAACTTCCGTGTGCGAGCGGCGACGGTGTGGAACGGAGAGAGACTGTGGGGGAACTACAGCAGCTTTCTACAGGTGCAGACCAACCCTGGAGGTAAGCTGTCAATCTATCAATCAATCAATCAATCAAACAATCAATCAATCATTATGACGATTTGGAACGGAGAGAGACTGTGGGGAAACTACAGCAGCTTCCTACAGGTGCAGACTAACCCTGGAGGTGAGGAGTCATCTATCAATATTAACTGATCTATCAATGAATCAATCTATCAATTATGTGCCACAAAATACATTGTATCTTATGGAGTGCTTTATCCTTTTTACTAATTTTAGTCATTACTTATCAATTTGTACTAACAGTAGTTTTGTCTTTTTCTGAATTTCCTTTCTTTCTCTACAATACATATTCTGCCTCCCTTTCTACGTCTATCTGTTTTCCTTTTCCTAAAACCAGACTTTGGAGGTTTACGTGAGTACAAAATTGTAACCTTCGTCTTCTTCTTGGTCTTCTGTATCACAACACTGACACACACATTCTGCAGCATCCAACAGATATAAATGACTGCACTTAAGAATGACACAGTCACACACTTTGCAGGCATGTGGCAGCAACTGGGAATAAATCATGTTCACACACACTTATATGAACCCTGTATCCTCCATGACTCCCAGTCTTCTTCAAGTTTTAACATATTCCTGTGGACATAGATACTCAATGATGTTCATGATATGCATTCTACAAATCGATGATGTAAGGAGAATGAAGATTTCTTCAGCACAAAAAGTGTCTTCAATAAACGTCTTTATTTTCTTTTACGACACAGTTGATATCTCACATCAATCAGCATCCACTACCTTTCGTCAATGACAGTGTCAGAAAACCTAAATATCAGCTACCTGAAACATCTTACCATTTCCAAAATCATATCCAGTTGCTTGTCAATGAGTAACTGTTTTTTGGTGTATCTCATTACCTGGATGTCTAACCTTTATCGACGTATTCACAATAACCCATGTCTAAATCTGTCCCAGCCCCGTCAGCAGCCCCTCAGAACGTCCAGGCCACAGCAAACTCCTCGGACACGATTCTGGTAGAATGGCGTGAGATCCCCTTCAGCCTTCAGCACGGCGTGATCACATCCTACACCCTGCGCTACAAACGCACAGACAACGGCGAGGCGTGGAGCACCAAGACGCTCGGCCGCCCGGATACGGCAACCTTCCTGTCGGGCCTGAAGCCATACAGGGAGTACAGGATACAGGTGCAGGGGATAAATGCAGAGGGGTCAGGACCCTTCTCTGATCCTGCTGAGGCACGGACCTTCCAGGCTGGTAAGCTGTAAATTTAAAGAAATCAACCAGACATGGTTCATGGCACTTCTTGAAGAGACCTTTTTTAATGTGGAGGTGTTTAGGACCCTGAAAAATTATGACAATAGATGTAATATTCTTAGAGGAAATGAACTTGAAATATCAATTATTTGCATGTGATTCCAAGTTTGATTGGAAAAATTTATAAGAGTTTAGCTAAACCTTGTTGGATATTATATTAATTTTCTTTGTCTTCTTAGCCCCAACAGGTGCTCCTACAGATGTCAGTATCACAGGTGTGTCTCCAACAGCCATACAAGTCACCTGGCAGGTGAGGATGGCACTCCTTTCTTTCTAAGAACACAGGACCATTCACTCACTCATTGTGGCTGTACAATTGAATTTGCAGAAAATTGTGTAGACTGTCTTAAAGTTTGTTTCTGTTGATTGCAGTGTTCAATTTTAATGACCTGACTTGATTCCAACTTTCCTCAGCCTGTAAGTGCAGAGTTTCAGAACGGTGTGATCGGAGGTTACCGCCTGAAGTTGGATGGACGGGAGCACACGTACGTGGCCGACGCAGGGAACAGGGCGGTGACGATTGGAGGACTGAGGCCGTGGACAGAGTACCTGGTGGAGGTGGCTGCCGTGAACGTTGGCCTGAATGTAACGGGACTGTACAGTGCTGCCAGGATGGGCAGGACTCTGGAGGATGGTGAGACTGGAATATGCACATGGGAAGACTTCTTTAACATAGCTTTTGATATACATGTATTAGAAATTCTGTTAGTCACTGACAAGAAGTAATGGATGCTACTTGAAATTTGTGACAGTGTTCAGACCCTATCCAATGAATTTGCTTAAATTTGTGTATCTCAGTACCTGCATGTCCAATCTTTGGGGGTCTGAACTCTGGGCTGACAACCTGCTTTCTTTAGGGGAAATCCAAGGCTATGGATGATGTATTGGGAAAACCACATTGAAATTTTGGCATGCTACTGTTGAAAAATTATCTGGTAAAGAAACCTGACATCCTATAATCTTGCAAGTTTATCAATTTGTTTGCTTTCTCCTACACAATTTCATGTACATTGTATAATTATGCATTACATGTATTTATGAAATGACGGACAATCTACTAGTAGATGTTTCCTAGGTGTAAAACACCTTGAAGAATATCTATGCCCCGTTCCAGTCCCCGGCCCCATCTCAGGCCTGACCGCCGAGGTCCTCTCCTGGAGCTCCGTACGGTTGTCATGGCTACCCCCGGCCGCGCCCAACGGCGTCGTCACGGGTTACGTGGTCGGCTACGTCCCCATTGGTCGGCACCTCCCCACCACCCGGCAGCCAACCACGGCCCAGACGACGGAGCGAGCGCAGAATGGGACCAGCGGGAACAACACACAGGGGGAGGAGCCTACTGGTAGGAAGATGTTTCTTTTTTCTCGTTGTAAGAAAATTTACTCCATTCTCATTCCATTCATATCTGAAACAAAGAATTTATATGATATAATATGAAGATTGCACTCTGACTTGTAATAGCATCAGATATCAAGACAATCATTGCCAATGTCCTTTCATGCATGCATGTAATATAATAATTGTAATTCACAGTTCAGAAGACAGTTGGCAAAAACATTGAAAGAAATATCAATCTGATTTCCTGATCCTCATCTTTACTTAGATGTCTTAACATTTGTGACAGGTTTTAAACTTTGTCAACTTTAAAATCATGAGAATTGCCAATTTACCATTAACTCTACTCTAATTAACTTAAGGAATGCCACTCAATCGGAGACTCCTTGACTTCTCTGTCATTTAAGGTTCCTCAAACATGTCTTAATTTTCCCACAGACACCTCTGCCTCCAGAGTAACCCGAGACACAGGCCCCACCTTTGACCTTGACCTTGAGAACGCGACCTTGATCACCATGGAGACGAGAGAGACCAGTATAGTCCTGGAGGGCCTGTACCCCAGTACAGTGTACCATGTACAGGTGGTGGCCAAGACTGGAGCTGGGACTGGTAGTACCACTGTCAACATCACTGCTACTACATGTAAGTAAAATACTTGAATTTAGCAACTTAGAACACATATCGCATTTTGGCCTTTTCAAGACTTCTGATTAAAGTGTAAAGGATACTTTCTGGTATTTAGACTTTGTAAAAAGTAGCTTGAATGTGGGTTGAGGACTTTCATAGGTCAACACATAAGTGTCTCATTTGATGATTCTTGTAGCTCCAAAATCTCCTTACTATATAATTTAGGTACTTTTTTAATGGGTTGTGCTGTTAATGTCCCTTCAATAATATGGTCTCCTATAGTGTAGAAAAAAGAGGAATTTCATGGCCACATGCTCTTCAATCACAATGTCTTATTATTTTTTTATTTCTTTCCTCATAGTGCCGTGGTACCCCATACCTCCAACCACTCCTGAACCTCCTGCTACTAAAACCATCTCAACACCAGACAAGGCTGTCACAGAAACTGCCTCTCCTCCCCCTGGAGGCAGCAGTGTGGCCCTTCTCCAGCCTCACGACGTCCCCATAGTGGTGGGGGTGTGTTTGACAGGTGAACTCACTCTTTTATCTACATGGTTTCAGACAAATCACTTGACATTAAAATGCTTCTAAGACACAGTGGATGCTTTTTGGTAGTAGTGGAAAAGTAAAATCTGCAAAACCAGGTACAATCAATATTGAAAATGAAACCAAGGCTATATACATCAAGGCCCACCACCCTTCACTTTAATATAACCGTGATGGAGGCCAACATCGTCTACCAGATACCTTTGACCCAGTGTTTGAGAGAATTTTGTTTAAAGTTAAAACTTTTGGTCCAACACAAAAAATTCTCTCACCTAGAGCTTTCAACCAGTCACTCTGGTCTTCCTCAATAGACTGACCCAGTAAATCTTGTCACGTGGCTTCTTTGAAGTGTGACGTCAACACTGGGTCAAAGGTATCTGGTAGACGATGTCGGCCCCCGTCGCGGTTCAGTGAAGGATGATGGGCCCTGATGACTTGACTTGTATATTGCTTCCTTCACCCCTGACTCAGGAAATAGTCTTGTTCAGCGTCCAAAATCCTTACAGTGTCAAGTGAAACAACACAAAACATTCTCTCACCTAGAGCTTTCAACCAGTCACTCTGGTCTTCCTCAGTAGACTGACCCAGTGAACCGCGACGGGGGCC